AAAAAATAAAAAAATGAAGTATGAGAAATTGATTTTCAAATATTGAATTGAAACAAGTGAAAAAATGTTAAAATGTATAATATATAGTAATAAGCTAAGGGAAGAGGGAAATTAGTAAAAAGTAAGAGTGAAAGAAGATTTGAAAGAACTGAGAAATGAGTGGGATAAGGGTGCTTGATGTGAAATTCCCAAAGAACCAATAAAAATTGTGTGTTGGCGCATGTCTTTAATCCTAGCACTCAGGAGGTGGGGACAGGCCGAGGTCTGTGAGTTCAAGGCCAGCCTGTTCTACAGCGGAAGTTCCAGGACAGGCACCAAAGCTACAAGAGAAATGATGTGGAAGTGTCATATATCAATCTGTTGATTTCATTGGTTAAGCAATAAAGAAACTCCTTGGTCCTGATAAGTGAAAACATAGGTGGGAGGAGTAAACAAAACAGGATGCTGGGAGGAAGAGGAGGTGAGCTCAGACTCGACAGCTCTGCTCTCTGGAGCAGAGGCCCTGCTTAGCTCTATTGGGCATATGCAATGAAGCTCCTACGCAGGATGTTAGGCTAGAATCTTCCTGGTAAGCGCACCTAGCAGTGCTACATAGATGATAAGAAATGGGCTAAATTAATATGTTAGAATTAGCCTAGAAGAGGCTAGATAGAAATGGTCCAAGCAGCGTTTAAATGAATAAAGTTTGTGTGTCATTATTTCGGGGCATAAGCTAGCAGACGGCCGGGGTGCTGGGGACAAAGCCCCACTACTCTTATTTCTACAGAGAAATCCTGTCTTGAAAATAATAATAATAATAATAATAATCTATAAAAATAAAACCTCTTAGTTGTAAATAAATGGAGGAATTCAGGAAAAAGAAGAAAAAACTGGTAAAGTTTTATCATTCCAAATGGATATCTATAAGTGAATTAATAATATCTAGCACTTTCAGGATAAGGGCCTCTCCCGAGTACAAAATAACTTACATAAACTGACAAGTGAAGAAATTAAGAAAATTAATGTACACCTGAGCTGAATATCCCTCATCAGCTCTCTCGAGGATCTTTAATACATATACATTATGTTTAGCTTGAAGGAAATATCTAGACATATCATTTCATGCCCTATTTTAGCAAGCAATTATGAATGATGTGGTTATTTCTGAAGATGAAAGTTAAACTTGATAAAGAAGAAAACAACTTAAAGGATATTGTACATTGTTAGTACTTTCAGTCTATCATATTGATTTTATTGACATTTGTTTTTAAGTGGTAAATGATAAGAGTAAATTTTGAATCTATATTCCCGAAATTGTGGGTTGGACTCCATTTTCATGCTTGATCAAGTTATTTTAAAAGACAGACATAAGATTATACACAGATAAGTGTACAAATCAAAATAAATAAGAACATTAATTAACTCATACAATTATTAAGGTGATTTACACATATGTTGTTAAATATATCATATGAACTCTGAAACTTAGAGGATGATCTTTCTAGATAATTCTCTACTCACAGAAATTTTACACTCATGATTTTCAAGCCTAAGTTAGAAAAAGTAATCACAGGTTATATGAAAAGAAAGGGAGGATATTTGAAAGGTTTATGTTTGAATATGAGCAAGGTCATAGAGGAGACTGGGGGCTACAGGATGGGTTAATTAAAGATTTATGAAGAAGAAGCCTTGTCGAAATCCTCTAGTTGGTAAGTCATAAAAAGCAGAATGTGTGTGTGTGTGTGTGTGTGTGTGTGTGTGTGTGTGTGTGGTACACATATATGAAGTTTGAACAAAATTACCTTTCACCTTTCATGGGTAACAAAAGCTGTTCCCAAAAGACATGGTTACTACCTGAAATTCTTAGTTTCAGGTACACATAGCTCCTATGAGTCTATGATCAGGGAGGTCAGGGGTCATCTAAACAACACAATCTATTGCCATTTATCTTAGCTGTGTTCACAATAACTAGAAGGTAAAATCCTATTGCTGAAAACTTATAGCACATAGAAAATTTAACTAGCTTACATAGTGGCCTAGATTATATAGAGCCAGAAGATTCTATGCAGGCTGCAAATCCATAACTTCAAGTGACTGGCAAGTTTTCCTCACTGGTGTAATCATGGAATGATGGTTATAATAGAAGCCAAATGCTTCCTGATTGGATATGAGGCTAATTCCAAGGGAGGGATTTCATGCCTCCTACTGTTAACCTACTCAAAACTTAGAAAATCATGGTTTCTGTGGTAGAACATACTCTTGATGTTACGTTAAATGATAATTCTGCCAAAGTCTCCTCTAAATTTGTATTTTTTTTTATAGTAAATAGATTTCTATTGCCCTAAACTTTGGCCACAGAAACTTCTTTCTGTACTGAGTAGCAGTCATGGCAAAGATGCCTATTTGGTCCAAGTGTCAGCTTTAAAGAACCTTGAGTACTCATCTGTGAATCATCTGCATTAACCTTCCTGGACATAAGACACAGGGATCTTCCCTAAGCCTGAGCAGAAAGAATGTATGTGTTGATGAATGAGGAAGAGACAGCTTGAAAATGTAGATTTCTTGACCTAACATGGCTTTCACATAGATGAATTCATATCATCTGTAGTTACTTTCATTAGATTAAGAAATTCAAAATTACCATATGAGCAGATGAGGAGCTATCAAGTCCCCATACTTAGCAATAGAGCTATTAGCAATTCATAGTTTCTGAAAGAGGGAGAGTTATTACTCTGTTTTAGAAACCTGGCTATTGGGAGACTGCCGGTGTTCCATTGGATGATCCCAAACCATGCCGTTACTGGCTGCACAAATTAGATTTCAGAGTGTATTTATAACAATCAAAAGAAGACATTAAATTAGGAGAGTGATATAGTAAGGGCATGAGAGAGGTTGAGAAAATGCACTCTATAAAATTAGGAAAATTTCAAAGGATAAATAAAAGTCATATGTAAAAAGAATTATTTTAAAATCATATCAGAAAATAGATCTTAAAATATATTTTGAAGTAAGACAATTTGACTAAATCATTATCTTTATATATTACTCTTTAATTTATTTCCAAAATTGTAACATAAATAGTAAAAATATACTTATTTTGTGAAACAATTTACCATAGTCTATCATGATGCTAATGAAATCATATTTCATAAAACCAAACACCCCTTCATAATAAAGGTATTGGAGAGATCAAGGATACAAGGACCATATTTAAATGTAATATAGCAATATGCAGGAAGCTGACAACCAACATCAAATTAAATGGAGAGAAACTCAAAGCGATTTCACTAAAATCAGGAACAAGTGATACCTTGAATGATGGAGCCATTATGAGGTTAACCAGAAATCTGGCACTAGAGAAATCCCCATGAATACAAAGGATGACCCAACTAAGCTTCTAAGCAACAGTGGAGAGGGTACCTGAACTGGCCTTGCCCTGTAGTAAGATTGATGACTATCTTAAATGTCACCATAGAACTTTTATTCCACAACTGATGGAAACAGAGACAGAGACCAGCAGAGGAGCACTGGGCTAAACTCCCAAAGTTCAGTTGAAAAATGGGAGGAGTGAGAGAGAATATGAACAAAGAAGTCAAGATCATGATGGGGACACCCACTGAAACAGTTTACCTGATGGGAGCTCGCCAACTCCAGCCAGAGAGGGAAGGAACCAGCATAGGTCCAAACTAGACCCTCTGAATGTGGGTGACAGTTGTATGGCTGGGGCAGACTACAGGGCCACTGGCAGTGGCACCAGGATTTATCCCTACTGCTTTTACCTGCTTTTTGGAACTCATTCTCTTTGAACGGATATCTTGCTCAGTCTAGATATAGTAGGGATGGCCTTAGACCTTCCCCAAAGCAATGTGTGTTACCCTGTCTGAGGAGTGGATCGGGGTGGGTTAGGGGGGAAGGGAGGGGAGGGGAGAAGCAGAGGGGGTTTGAACTGGGATTCATATTTAAAATGAAAGAGGATAGTCTGTTTTCCTTTTAAAATAAAGAAAAAGGAAAAGAAAAAAATCATATGAATAGAAAAATATTATTACAAAAAAGAAATTCAAAATAGCTAAATTACAAATATAAATACATGCTAACTTCTAAGAATGTAATAAAAGTTATCCTTGCTCACTGGACATCCTTAAAAAACATATCTTTTTGAGTTGTGTCTTTAACAATGTGATATGTGACAGTATTATATTTGCAATCATTTAAATAGATTTCATAGACTATGACTTAAATACTAATGCATATAATTGCAAGTGGTATTCTGTAAGTAAAATTATTTCAAATTCATTATTTGGAGCCTGTTTCTTTTTATTTAGCCTGATTTATAGGAAGTCTTAGAAAACACTGTTAATTACACACCCAAAATGAATGCTTTGTAATTATATTGAACCTGAGGAACAAAGCCCTGATAATTTCCAAGAAGATGGAACAGCTCTTACTGAGTCAATAAAATTCTTGTTGCGAAGATCAAACTGTATAATTTCAGAAGAGAATAAATGTAGCTAACTGTCTGCTACTAAAAACAAGTACTGAAAGTGATTGCATATCTTTTAGGTGAGCTGATGCAATATATATTTATTTTGGCCTGATTAATATGCAATAATTCATGATACATATTGGTTAATATAAAATAATATTTTTTGGCATGCATAAACAGGGTCTTCTATCATTCTATCCTACTGTACTTTATTCTATTATTCACTATTCTATTATCTAAAATTTATAAGTTCTAGAACTATCTATGAAGTAAAACCAAGATGAGTAAGTTATCTAAAGTTTTTACTGATGGATAAATGCTGCCTAAGTTAAAGAATATGAAAAACTTTCCAGTACACAGCAGAATCTGAAAATATTTTTCTAATTTGATAATTTTAGAAATGTAAAATATTTTATATACTAAACATCATTTTTCTGTATTGTTTCAACCACAGTGACCATAATGCAGATATTTGAAAGAAAAGAATTTGTGAGCAGCAGAAAATAGGAAGAAATATAAGATATGAGGCAGAACATACATTGACTTTTTCTTTCAAATCTAAGATGTTGCCTTCTTTTCGATAGACTGCAAATTCAGGACTCTGCAATACAGCTTCTGAACGAGTAATCCAACTGTGAAGTTCAGTTATGTCGACATCCAACCTAAAAGAGCAAAAAATAAGGTTCATTATTATTTTATTATCTCTTCTGTATAGAAAGGAAAAAGAAATTTGTTTACATTTACCACATTCCTAATTAGCTAATTAGCTACAATTATTGTTAATAGTATCAACATCTCCCTAAGTAAATAGACTCAAACTTTGGAGTCAAGTTTATTCTAGAGTCTCATAATCACAGTGTCTATTTTATTTACCCACTGCAGCAATTATCTGTAAAGGATCTTCCACAAACTATTAACTAGACTTCACTTGAAAGTGTTGATACCTGAAAAATTACTACCTCTCCAAATAGCTCTTATTTTTAAAGAAATATCCACAATGAACTTAAAAACTACCCTCTTGGTTGACTTGATTGAACAATAATTCTAATATTTATGTTCTCCATAAATCAGTGGTATCCAAAACTTATCTCTGGGCTTTTACATGCAACTTGTTACAGAAAATGGGACATCAATAAGGTTAACCCAAGAAAAGTCTTCAAATGTTTGTAATCTTTCATCTTTTTAAAAAAATTTATTGATTTTTATTGAGCTCTACACTTTTCTCTGCTCCCCTTCCTGCCTCCCCCCTCTCTTTCAACCATCTCCCAAGTTCCCCATGCTCCCAATTTATTCAGGAGTTCTTGTCTTTTTCTTCTTCCCATATAGATTAGATTTATGTATGTTTCTCTCGGGGTCCTCATTGTTGTCTAGGTTCTCTGGGATTGTGATTTGTAGGCTGCTTTTCTTTGCTTTATGTTTAAAAACCACCTATGAGTGAGCACATGTGATATTTGTCTTTCTGGGTCTGGGTTACCTCACTCAAAATGATGTTTTCTAGCTCCATCCATTTTCCTGCAAATTTCAATATACCTTTATTTTTTTCTGTTGTATAAATTGTGTGTAAATGGACCACGTTTTCCTTATCCATTCTTTAGTTAAGGGGCATTTAGGTTGTTTCCAGGTTCTGGCTATAACAAATGATGCTGCTATGAACATAGTTGAACACATGTACTTTTGGTACAATTGAGTATCCTTTGGGTATATACCCAAAAGTGGTATTACTGGGTCTTGAGGAAGGTTGTTTCCTAATTTTCTGAGAAATTGCCACACTGACACCCAAAGGGACTGTACCAGCTTATACTCCTACCAGAAATGCAGGAGTGTTCCCTTTACCCCACAACCTCGCCAGCATAAGTTGTCATCAGTGTTCTTGATCTTGGCCATTCTTACAGGTAAAAGATGTAATCTCAGAGTTGTTTTGATTTGCATTTCTCTAATGACTAAGAATGTTGATCATTTCCTTAAGTATCCTTCAGCCATTTTAGATTCCTCTGTTGAGATTTCTCTATTTAAGTCTGTACTCCATTTTTTATTGGATTATTTTTTCTTTTGATGACCAATTTCTTGAATTCTTTGTGTATTTTGGATATCAGACCTTTGTCTGATGTGGGGTTGGTGAAGTTCTTGTCCCATTCTGGAGCCTGCTGTTTTCTCTTGTTGGCCATCTCCTTTGCTTTACAGAAGCTTTTAAGTTTCAGGAAGTTGCATTTATTAACTGTTTCTCTTGATGTCTGTGCTGCTGGGGTTATATTGAGGAAGTGGTTTCCTCTGCCAATGCATTCGAGTATATTTCCCTCTTTCTCTTCTATGAGGTTCAGTGTGGCTTTATGTTGAGGTCTTTGAACCATTTGTACTAGAGTTTTGTACATGGTGATAGATATGCGTCTATTTTCATTCTTCTACTTGTTGATATCCAGTTATGGCAGAACCACTTGTTAAAGATGCTTTCTTTTTCCATCTGATATTTTTTGCTTCTTTTTCAAAAATCAGGTGTATGAGGTGTCTGGATTAATATCCAGGTCTTCGATTCTGTTCCATTGGTCCTCCTGTCTGTTCTTACGCCAATACCAGGCTGTTTTCAGTACTTTAGCTCTGTAGTAGAGCTTGAAGTCAGGGATTGTGATGCTTCCAGAAATTCCTTTATGGTACAGGATTCTTTTTGTTATCCTGGGTTTTTGCTTTTCCATATGAAGTTGAATATTGTTCTTTTGAGGTCTGTGCAGAATTTTGCTGGGATTTAGATGTAAATTGCATTGAATCTATAGATTGCTTTTGGTAACATTGCCATTTTTACTATGTTAATTCTACCTACCCAAGAGCATGGGAGATCTTTCCACTTCTTGGTGTATTCCTCAATTTCTTTCTTTGTAGTGATGGAGCAGTGGGCTGCGTTCCTGCTGCCCAGCTCCCTGCCGCCTGGCTAGCTTATGCCCGGAAATAACAACACACAAACTGTATTCTTTTAAACACTGTCTGACCCATTATATCTACTCTCTTCTTGGCTAACTCTCTGAACTTGCTTAACCCATGTCTAATAATCTGTGTAGCACCATGGGGTGGTGGCTTACCGGAAAAGATTCTAGCCTATGTCCATCTTGGGCTGGAGCTTCATCATGTCTGCTTGACTCAGCTTTCTTTCTCCCAGAATTCTGTTCTGTTTACTCCACCCACCCTTGTCCTGACCTATCAGGCCAAGCAGTTTCTTTATTAACCAATGAAAGTATGACCCTCCTCCATCATTTCTTCAAAGAATTAAAGTTCTTGTCATACACTTGTTTGGTTAGAGTAACTCTGAGATATTTTATGCTATTTGTGGCTATTGTGAAGGGTGAGGTTTCTCTGATTTCTTTCTCAGCACATTTATAATCGGTGTACAGGAGGGCTACTGATTTTTTGAGTTACTCTTGCATCCTGCTACATTACTGAAAGTGTTTATGAGTCATAGAAGTTCCTTGGTAAAATTTTTGGGGTTGCTTATGTAAACTATCATATCATCAGCAAATAGTGAGAGTTTGACTTCTTCTTTTCTGATTTGTATCCCCTTGATCTCATTTTGTTGTCTTATTGCTCTAGCTGGGACCTCAAGAACTATATTGAATAGATATGGAGAGAGTGGAAAACCTTGTCTTGTTCCTGATTTCAGTGGGATTGCTGGGAGTTTCTCTCCATTTAGTTTGATGATGACTGTTGGCTTGCTGTATATTGCCTTTATTTTGTTTAGGTATGTTCCTGGTGTCCCTGTTCTCTCCAAGACCTTTATCATGAAGGCATGTTGTATTTTCTTGAAAGCTTTTTTGGCATCTAATGAGATAATTATGTGGTTTTTATTTTTCAGTTTGTTTATATGCTGGATTATGTTGACAGATTTTCATATGTTGATCCATCCTTGCATCTTTGGGATGAAGCTGACTTGAACATGGTAATCTTCCATCTTATAGAATACATTCTGAGAAGTCATTCATAACACAAAAAGTTAGACTGGGTGACCATGCTTTTACTAATTTTCTACTATCAATAAAGAAGCACAATGCATTTTTTGTGAATACTCTTCTTTTACCTTCTGAAACATTTCAACATACTTGAGGTTACTAATATATATACTCCAGCTGACACCGTAAATAACCCAGAAAAATTATCCATGTGCTATTTTCTTTCTTAGTCAGGGTGACTATTGCTGTGATTTTACACCATGACCAAAGCAAGTTGGAAAGAGAGGATTTATTTGGATTTTGCTTCCACATTACTGTTCAGCAAAGGATATCAGGACAGGAATTAAAACAGGACAAAAACTCAGAGGCAAGATCAGATCAAAGACCATGGAGGAGTGCTGTTTCCTGGCTTGTTCAACATATTTTTTTTATGGAACCTAGGACAACCAACCCAGAGGAAACACTATCCATAATACACTGGGCTTTTCACATGAACCACTAATTAAGAAATTGCCCTACAGGTTTGCCTGAAGCCAGATCTAATAGAGCCATTTTCTCATTTGGGGTTCCCTCATTTCAAATGACTTTAGTTCATTTCAAATTGACATAAAAGAAGCCAGCACACAAGCTTTGAGAAACAGGCAATGTTGATTTGTTCTACTAAATTTTTTAAGGTAACTCTGTTGCAAATAAAATAAAATAAATTATCGTCTACTAGTCATTTTAAAACATAATTATCTTGGATCATTGACGTTCCTGGGAATATTGAATCTAAACAAATACAATCTATTGAGTCAAACCAAGTGTTTTTCAGTAGATGAATTGATTAAGATACATGGATCTTGATCAAGGTATGTACACATGGAATATTATTAAGTTTTTAAAAATCCATAAGTTTTTATTAAGTTTATTCTTTTAATTACCAAATTTCATTAAAATACAGTGTCTGCTTGTGTGCAGAAAAAACACTTTGTACCTTCCAGCTTAACGAATATTTATTTATAAATAAAATTTATTTTCATTTTACTAATTTATCCACTAAATCAATATTTTGGGGCTATTATCAGTTCATTATCCATAGAGCACAGTGAATCTTCTTGTATTTCTATTATTTCTTCAGGCTCAATATCAGAATGTCATAGAAAAGCATGTTTCTATGCTTTTCTAAAATATAAAAGCATGTTTTTATTTTTTGGGGGGGTTATTTGTTTGTTTCTGTTTGCCTCTTTGTTTTCATCAAAATAAAATTTGTTGTCTCTGCCTGCAGGTTTTCACTCGCAAGTGAACAGAAAACCCAGAAATACTAGGATGATAATGCTTCACTAGTGCTAAAGAGGAAACAGCGTTAATACTTTAGCTTCTTGGAATCAATGTCACTCAGTTGAATAATGATGTAATGTTTTATATATGATCTCTCAAAGGCTCCCTGTTTGATTGAACCCCAGTTGTCCACAGCAATAACCTAGCCCTGTTCATATAACATCTTCTAGTGACCTCGTTCTTTTCCTTATGACCCTACATAACACGTCCTGGGAATGCTTTCCACACAAACTGCTTGTACTTCTGCATGTTCAGAACTTCAAAGAGGGTCCATACCATGACAATGTGCACCTTAAGCCCACAATTCTGTGATATATATCTTTCAACTTTAATTAGACTCACAATATGATGTATTTAGAGGATTTTCTTCCAACGTGCTCAAAGTTCTGAGCAACTTTAGTTCTCTAGCTTTC